TTCCTTTTTGATCACCCCAAGTGTTAAAATCTGCTATTCAAAATGCTTTGCTCACCACAAATAGAACTGACTGCTGTGATATCCTTGTGATTACAGCAAACATAAATTTGCAGAGGTCAACCATCAGTTGATAACCCTAACAATAAACTATTTGGCATGAAGAAAGTGCAAAAGCTGGAATAATTAGAATAATTTTTCCCCACAAAATTCATTGGTGGGCAAAAATGGTTTTGGGGGAGGGAAATAAAGAAGGAATGATGCTTGCAACCAGGATTTAATTACAGAGGACTACATGAACTTTCCACATTTACATTACAAAGCTTTTTTTTTTAACCCTCATATAGTTTAGTTCTCATGTAGTCATGATCAGCATCATGTAATAACAGAGAGGGGCCAATCAAGTACACACAAGTCAGTCATGATCAGCCAATGTAGCACTAGAATGAGTGGTACTAGAATCAGATACTGGTATAATTGTCTCAAAACAGATTGGCAAAATCTGATTCATAGAACAGTATCGCTTAAAATGCCCTAATTTCAGGATTTGTCATCCATTTCCCTTTCACACAGGAAGGAAGTCAATCTCTGATTGGGTTTCCATGTTCCATTAAGTCAAACCATGGCTTGTTAGGTTTTGACTTGATGCATCGTGTAGAGCTGGCCAATTACGTTTCATTGAACTGTTTTGAAAAGTTCATCCATGAGATGTCAAGCATTTGCTCCTGACCTGTCAAAGTCTTGCTTGGATCGCTGCATTCACCTAATCTGTCTCAGGGAAGTGACCAGGTGGGAGGATCCCACCTTACAGAATGGTTCATTCTCCCCCCTCCACCCGCCCCCTTATACACCAGAGATTCACTGGTTTGATAGAAAGAACTACTTAGAAAGTAGCATCAATAGCTGGTTTTCAAGGGTAAACGTGGTTTTGATCGTAAATGGCAGAAAGCCATAGAGTGGGCTTTGTCCTTATAAATGTTTTTGTTGGAAGATGGTTAAGCTAAAGGATGTCCTTTTATTTTCAACATTAAAAATGCAGGATTCCTCTTGGAGTTTCACAAGTGTTCCTAATCCTGTGTTACATAAATACTGTCAATAAAAATATAATGTTGTAAAAAATAGTGAACGGAAGCACAGCCCAGAGACATGGTATGATGACAATGTTTTAGAATTAATGCATGAGGTAGAAATGCTGTTTTTTCTCAAGTTATAAAAGCATGGAAGATGTTAACTTAAATGTTGGCAAAAAAAAAGAAAAGAAAGTCACATGTTATGTTAAAGTCTGGTTAAGTAAGCAAAACATTGTTTGCACTAGTTGTCACCCCTATTCACACCATGTTTTGTTTATATCCTTAGATCTGGTGGAATGTACATCTTCTATGTCACCAGATCAAGAAAGGAGTTCAGAAAAAAAAATTATTTTTTTCTAATTTTTTACCTGTAGCAAAGTTTGTATTTTTTGAATTGGAAGCAAAATGTTTTTGTCTTATTGTCTCAAATGTTTATGTACTACCTTTTTGAAAACATGAAGTCTAAGTTTATGCTGTTTTACAGATTTAAAATAAATTCTTACTACACTGCCAACAAATCCAAAGACATTGTCTCACTTATTTGCTTAGATAGAATTGCAATTGTGTACTCTTCCCAAAACATCTAGATCAGTATTTCTCAGTCTTGTCAAAGATGCACGGATGTCACCTCCTAGAATTCCCCTGCCAGCAGGAAGGAAGCAGAAGCAATTAAAACATATATTTCTCTATTAAGCAGATTATTTACTTAACTACCAATGGCTCCAACCAGGGTCCTTCTCAATGGAGACATAAAGAATAAAACATGGGATATTTCCCATTTAAGCACATACCCTACTACTGAGACATGTCCCATATAATTTTACTGTGTGAACAGATTTCATGCCCTAGAACAGGGGTGTCCAACCTTGGCAACTTTAAGACTTGTGGACTTCAACTC